GAAAAAAACTAATATTGCATTAAAGAAAAAGAAAACCAAAAAAACGTAGGTTAATATTGTACCCGCGTTGGGATCCTGTCACACCAGGCACCCTCAATTCGAAGTGTTTGCTTTTATAGTTAACGATACAATCTGCACATAGTTGAATACTAATAAGGTACTAAATGCCTAGATTAGTTCCAGTATTTATGTTGACCATGTCAACACACATGGTAAAGGCCCAGGGCCTGTGCGAAAGGCTCCACCGAGAGGTGAGATCACGTCTCCCATATTTAAAACAAAAAGGACATGTATTTTAATGTTTTCTTTTTGACTTCTCTACAAAATTCTGTCTTTAATGCCATATTTTCTAAAAGAGAGCGAAACCTTTATTTTCAGAAAGTATTGCTAAAGAGTGGAGGTCAGAGGACGGCACCTACTCACGGTGCAGAGAAACTTGTTAAGTGATTGCTAGATAGAGAGTGCGTGTTACTTCCTTACAGTACACCTGCATAGAGTACACCTGCATAGAGTACACCTGCATAGACTATGCCTGCATAGACTACACCTGCATAGACTACACCTGCATAGACTATGCCTGCATAGACTACACCTGCATAGAGTACACCTGCATAGACTATGCCTGCATAGAGTACACCTGTATAGAGTACACCTGCATAGACTACACCTGCATAGACTACACCTGCATAGACTACGCCTGCATAGACTATGCCTGCATAGAGTACACCTGCATAGAGTACACCTGCATAGACTACACCCGCATAGAGTACACCCGCATAGAATACGCCCACATAGAATACGCCTGTGTAGACTACACCTGCATAGACTACACCTGCATAGACTACACCTGCATAGACTACGCCTGCATAGACTATGCCTGCATAGACTACACCTGCGTAGACTACACCTGCGTAGAGTACACCTGCGTAGACGACGCCTGCATAGACGATGCCTGCATAGATGACGCCTGCATAGTCGACGCCTGCATAGACGACACCTGCATACACTACGCCTGCATACACTACACCTGCATAGAGTACACCTGCATACACTACACCTGCATAGACTACACCTGCATACACTACACCTGCATAGAGTACACCTGTATAGAGTACACCTGCATACACTACACCTGCATACACTACACCTGCATAGACTACGCCTGCATAGACTACACCTGCATAGAGTACACCTGTATAGAGTACACCTGCATACACTACACCTGCATAGACTACACCTGCATAGACTACGCCTGCATAGAGTACACCTACATAGGCTGGTGAGAGATTTTAAAATAATGATTCATTATTTGGAAATAAAGATTCTCATGTTTGTTTTTAAATGGGACTGGCAAGATGGCCTAGCAGCTAAGATCCCTGGTTGCTGTTCCAGAGGACTTGGGTTCAGTTTTTAGCACCCACGTGGCAGCTCACAGTCCCCCCAGGGGACTCTGGCCTCTGCAGCGCTACATCATGTGTTCCCCAGACAGACATGCAGACAGAACACCCATACGCATAAAAATAATTTTTTTTGAAAAGGCAAGGGATAAAATGTCCAAAAGTTTATGACATACAAAGACACAAATATCATACATACAGTCCTTAACTTGAGTATAGTATATAATTCAAAGCAGCTGCTGTTTCTCCTTCACTGTTCAACGTGTCTTTCTAGATATTCTGTGTCAAGGTTGTCCAAACATTTAATGCAGACTCCTTCCTTGTTGTATTTTGAATCAATGCTGTTTGATATCAATATGTATGTATAAACTATATTAAAGTCAGGTGCTTAAATAATGTCTAGAAAGCATTAGTTCATATTATACCGCTTTGCCCATGATATGTTCTTTTCAATGGTATGCATTCTTCCTGCTAAATAAAGGCTGACTTATTTCCTGCTGCCCTACTAATGTGTTCACTGACAGCGCTTCATTGCATGATAAAGCTTTCTGCATATAATTCACATTACCGCACTGAGCATGAGTGCAAAGACTTTGGAGTTTGTGTGCTTCCAAAGTTCAGAGAACAAGACAAGTATACTTGACTACTAAGCTGCATGGTGCTTTGTGCATACAGTGTCTGTTGCTTCCTAGAGTGTAGATTCAGATGGTAGTCATACATTTTAAATCAGAAAAGAATACTTTGGCGTTCTCTTAAGGTAAAGTATATTACACTGTAACATGTTAAAGCTGGAGAAAGTTTAAACTGTTTGTATTTTAAATGCATAATTATATTACTGTGCTGATTCTCTTATTTTAATGTTTTTCCTCATAAGCCTCACCTTTAAATAGTTTAAGCATAAGTCGATCTATAGTCAGATTAATAAAATTTGATGCAGTTGTGGTCCACGGGAGGCAATTAACATTAAAAGTAGGTATCACACCAATAAAACACACAAGGCCAAGTGATTGGGCAGCTTCTTACTAACCCTAAGCGTTGAGAGCAGCAGTTCTCAGCCTGTGGGTCCAGACCCCACAGGGCTACATGTTAGACAACCTACAGATCAGATATTTATTTTAAGATTCATAATAATAACAAAATTACAGTTATGAAATAACAACAAAATTTTATGGTTGAAGTCACCACAACATGAGGTGCTGTATTAAAGGGCCACAGTATTAGGAAGGTTGAGAACTATTGCCTTAGAGGATACAGTCTGGGCCAATGACCACCCCAAAACCAAACTTCATGTGTACTCATTCTAGATGAACACAGGCTGTGCCAGGTCATCAGCTTGGAAAGGAAAATGTTCATTTGGTTTTAGTTCCCACTTGGCTAGGTGCCAAGGGAGAGCTTTGAGAATACCAATTAAAATTGTACAGGTGACACACACTGTCCCCACCTCTCCCATATGCGGTCTCTAACAAGTTAATATCAGAGAAACATAAGGCAGTCTCCAGGAGACCCATCCTGATGCTGAGACTCGTACTGAGCCTGTAAGAGAGGGACTCTGTGCCTCTTCTCTCTCTGCCCAGCTGGCCGGGCAGAGAATGCCCGTCAATTACAGACCAGTGTTCCCAGTCCTTTTTCCTGCTGTTGCCTGTTATGACGTCACTTTTCCTTCTGGGTTCTCCTTAATGTTTGTTTCATCCTGATGCCCCTTGCATGACATTTCGAGCACTAAATTATGATCCTGTCCCACATCATGGCGTTCTCGGTTGCTGTGCCTTCTTAATGAAGTCAGCCATGTGTGGTGTTCACACCCACCATCTCTGCACTCAGTGGATTGCCATAATTCCAGGCTAGCGTGGGCTACAGAGTAAGTCACATTCACAGGTCCTCCCTTGACCCCCAATCTGTAAAATCTCTGAAACGTACCATTGTATAAAGGTTAATAATTTGCAAGACTCCAACAGGTAAAATAGCTCCTTTGAAAACACACAATGACAGCTCAAATGTCTCTGCGTCATTTCTCAGCAGGGCTTGCTGTTTCCTTGATGTCACAGGCTGACTGTTCCAATTAGTCCTGGTTTATATCTTTGTAACTTTGTCCCAAACCTGTCTGTGTAGCAATGTTGCCGCCAAGCTCACTGCAGTGGCTAGTTCCTGGGGCTTTTAGCCTTCCTGTTTGCCAGGGAGTGGGTCTCCCCTCATGGCTCCCTTTATGTCGCTGGTGAGTCCCCAGTCTGTCTTCTGTCTCCCCTGCTTCCCTTGTGAGACATGTCAAGTGGCCAGTTCCTGCCACCAGCACATCAAAGGAAAACGGTTGCCTATGAAATAGAAAGACAGTGTAGGGCGCCTCCTCTATTGGCTTTGGAGCCCACAGACGCTGGCTTAGGTGTGAGAGAATGGTGTCTTAAGCTGTTTATGGGGAGTATTTTCCAACTTTTTATATAAATTCCAAATTCCCCTTCTCTTCAGACTTCTTGTAAGGTTGATGTATACACCATTTCAGGTTAGAATAACCTGCCGATAAGAACAGAAATAGATGAAATTAAACCATTTCACCAGCTGCATGTATTTATGTGTATAGAATACACATTTATCCATACAGCCAGAGATGATACTTGACATATTAAGGCTGATGTTTTTTGTTGACAAAAATCATTTTCCACTTAAGGGAGTTGCTTGGTTAGAGGGAGCTTACTGCTCTTCTGGATTTGGGGCGCAGTGGTCATGCCTGGTAGCTTCCAGCTGCCTATGACGTCAGCTCTAGAAGGTAGGCTCTGATGTTGCCTTCCAGCCTCTGTGGGCACCCTCACAAGCCTGGTGTACACTAGCACGAGCACATCACGTCAAAAAAGTAAATAACAAACTCACAAATCTTTCCAAAGAGCAGGTTTCCAGTCCTCCACCGCTCCCGGCTAACAATCACTGCCCACTCCCTGTGAAGTAACTGAAGGTGTGTGGAAGCCCCAGTTCCCTCCCCGTGGTGACAGTAGATGCTAATTGTGGAGGAGGAGGAGGAGGAGGAGGAGGAGGAGGAGGGCTTCATTCCAGACCCACAGCCCTGACCACTGCACATCTGCCTCAGAGAAGCCATTTCACCTTCAGTGCTGCCTCCTCGGAGCAGCTTCGCCTGAGAACAGTGTTCGTTGCCTCCTGCTCCCATTCATATAAGTGATAAAGGTATTCCAGAAAGGGTGTACACTTGATTTCTAGACATGTGCTACAAATGGCTTATTTTATAAACAATATAATTAGGCCGTTTTCAAGGTACCTTCTGAAAACAGACTTAAACTAGCGATAAAGCGAGATTAGATTTTTGGACTGGCGAGACGGCTCAGCACATAGTATCTTTGGTCAAGCCTGGCAACTTGAGTTCATTTCCCAGAACCCGAAAGGTAGAAGGAGAGACCCAACTCCATGCTGCTTTCCTGCGACATGCACACACCATATACACATCCAGTAATGATGAAGCTTTGAAGTAGGCTTTTATTGTAGAACATTTTAACTGAACAAGGTTATTTCCTAAGATCCATTTGACCGGCTCGTTCCCTTTGGATTGGTAGTCCGTGAAGTCCACCTTGTGCTTAGTCTCTGTCGTGTGTCTTTCTGGCGTAGATCTCCCTGCTCAAGCAGAACCTGGAGCTGCAGCTTTGCCAGTCGCAGACATCTCTGCAGCAGCTGCAGGCGCAGTTCACACAAGAGCGCCAGCGACTCACACAGGAGCTGGAGGAGCTGGAGGAGCAGCATCAGCAGAGACACAAGTCCCTCAAAGAAGCACATGTCCTCGCCTTCCAAACCATGGAAGAAGAGAAGGAAAAGGAACAAAGGGTAAGGTCCCTGGGAAACATGTTCAAAGATTGTCTCAGAGCTTGATGTAGCCTTTGGATCCTTTTTAATGGCCTGTGGTCCGCAGGAGCACAGTGTGGGTCTAACATTTGAAGATGAAGTTGGAACCGCCAGCCTGCAGATAATTAAGAATTCCTGCTTTTCTCTTTCTTCTTTTCTTTCTCTTTTAAAATGTTACATGTTGTTTTTATTGAAATGTTCTCCAGGATGTGACTTCCTATAGGAGTCACAGTTCATAAAGACACACTGATTGCACATGATAGCAGATGAATTAAAGTTTATTATAACACCAAGCTAAGCTCATCTTCTGCCCCATAACTGTTGGCAGTTGTGATTTAAATTCAGTCACTGTTCTACTCATAATGTGTTATTATAACAGTTTTTCTTCAAAATCTATTGAGACTGAGTCATGTGCCCAGGCTAGCCCAGAACTCACTATGTAACCCAGACTGACTTTGAACTCCTGACCCTTCTGACTCCACCTCCTCAGTGCTAGGATTCTAGGTGTGTGTCACTACACTCAGACTTTTAGCAAACTCGAAATCTGTTTTCACTCTGTACCCACAAAAAAGAAATGGATACGAAGGATGTGTAGGTTTTTTTTTAAATCTTAGGTTTTTCCCTTACATTCTTTTTCTCTTTGTAAAAAAAGAAAATCATAATGAAATGAAATTTTAAAATGTTTTAAAATTTCCTTGTAATATAACCCCATAGCTAATATAAAAAATTGTAACTACAGTAACATAAAAGTGATTTAAATCAAATAACTATATTATTGGATTATTATCACAGTCTTTATCTTTTACTTCGTGTGTGAGCACACACACTTGTGTACATCTGCACAGACGTATGTAGAGACCAGATGTTGAAGTCAAAACAGATGTCGTCCATTATTGCTCTCCTGTTTTGTTGGTTTTGTTTTAAGGGGACAGGGCCTTTGAATGAGCCGGGAGCTCACTCATTAGCTAAACTGGCCCATGAGCTCCAGGGATTTTTCTGCTCTGCCTCCCAGGGGTGGGATTACAGTTGTGCACTGACACCCAGGGCTGGGATTACAGCTCTGCACTGACACCCAGGGCTGGGATTACAGCTGTGCACTGACACCCAGGGCTGGGATTACAGCTGTGCACTGACACCCAGGGCTGGGCTTACAGCTGTGCACTGACACCCAGGGCTGGGCTTACAGCTGTGCACTGACACCCAGGGCTGGGATTACAGCTGTGCACTGACACCCAGGGCTGGGATTACAGCTGTGCATTGACACCTAGGACTTGGATTGCAGCTCTGCACTGACACCCAGGGCTGGGATTACAGTCTGCACTGCCCTGCCTGTCTTTTTACATGGATGCTAGGGATCTGAATTCAGATCCAGGGCTGTGGACATGGCTCAGTAGGTAGAATACTTGCCATTTCTACGAGGACCAGAGTTCAGATCATCAGAAGTCATGTACAGTAATGCACAAGTTTGTTTGCATCTATAATCCCAGTGTTCTCATGGTGAGAAGTTCTTACAGAAGGACAAACCCCAGAAGATCAGGGGCCAGCGGGTTAGCCTGGTCTATGTAACAAAACAACACAAAACTGCTTGAAACAAGACAGATAACAAGGACCCACACCCTAAATTGTCTTCTCACCACCCCAACACACACACACACACACACACACACACACACACAGGCAGACATCGTGTATATCTCCAATCACGTACATGCTTATATATAAGCACATGCATTAACAAACAAACAAACAAACCTAGGTTCTTTTGCTTGCACAGCAGCAGTTTTCCTCACAGAACCATCCTCCAGCCCCCATGTTATATTCTCCACTAGCATCTCCAGGTCTCTATCACTTTGCTTCATTTTCCTAGGGAGTGGGGCATGTGTCTATGTGTGCTCATATGAGTGTGTGCATTCGTGTGTGAAGCAGGGGTCAGTGTCAGCTGTGTTCCAGGGAGTGAGACGTGTGTCTGTATGTGCTCATATGAGTGTGTGCATTCGCGTGTGAAGCAGGGGTCAGTGTCAGCTGTGTTCCAGGGAGTGAGACATGTATGTGTCTGTATGTGCTCATATGAGTGTGTGCATTCGCGTGTGAAGCAGGGGTCAGTGTCAGCTGTCTTCCTGGGTTTCTCCACACACATTTTTTTTTTCTTAGATTGAGAGCTTATCAATCCAGATAGACTGGCTGGCCAATGAGCACCCAGAATCCATCTGTCTCTATGCCCTGCCATCCTGGGGTTATAGATACACGCTGCTGTCCCTGACTTTTTGTGTGGGTACTAGAGATCCAAGTTTAAGTCATCAGGTCTGTGCCAGGTGCCACTTCCACAGCACCCATGGCTCAGGTGTAAACCATTAATGTGACACCATTTGAATGTGATTAATTTTCTTTAGTTCACTTCTTAGAGATGTATTTTTCATCTCCTTCCAATGCCTTAGTATAACAAAGGTTTTATAGAAGAGCCGCTCATGCTATCATTTTCACCCCAATACAGATTACATACAGATAAAGGCTGTTCATTAATTTTTTATTTGGGTGCAGGCACTGGTTTAAGAAATGGTGCAAATAAATTAAGGTTGAATTCAACAATGATTATAGCCTTAAGCCTTTTTTTGTGTTGACAACTGTTAACCTTAGAGTCTTTGATATGTATAACATATTTTCGTTATATACAAAATAAGTAATTTTAGAAAAATCTTATGCTTCAAAAAAAAAGAAGAAAACCTTGCTTATATAGTGACCTGTAATCTATAACTCATGTCCAGAAAACCAAGGAAGTTGCTGTGGTTAAGATTTAGACACGGTAGGCTGGGCATGGTGCCACATTCCTTGAATGCCTACACCCAGGAGGTGGAGGCAGGAGGAGCAGGGTCTTCTTCAACTCTGTAGAATGTTTGAGTTCAGACTCAGCTACATGAACACTTGTCCTCAGACAAACAAAAGCAAGAGTCAAGAAAGGCCGGGCAGCGTTACTAACTGAATTGACTCATTGACTGTTCCTTATGAATTGAAGTAACACATGAACTCTTATCAGTAGTGAAATCTACACATTTGGATTTTTAAAATGGTTTAACGTAGATCTTCAGAAAAAAATCAGAACTTGAAATATTTCTGTATTTTTATTCAGCAGTCAAACTACCTCACTGTAGGTTCTGCCCCAGTGAAACAACCTTTATTTTACCAATATTGGAGACACTCGTGCTTCGTTTTTGGAAAGCTTTTTTCATATTGCGATAAGCAACCAAATACTAAATTATAAAACACCACTTTTCTGTTAAAGAAATGTAGCCCTAGTTAACAGCACAGTCTCTCAGAAATAATTCATTTTAGAAAATACAGTGAAACAAAAGCAACAAAAATTCTGTCGCAGTTTGTCTCGCACCCTAGGACCTAGGGTGGTGTCTTTTCTCTCAACCACGTGTAGACTGCGGCATCCGCACAGCCTTTGAAGCAGCGTGGCACGTGCAGCCTGTAACAGGTGCTTTTATGTCACGGTGACCGAATTCCTGTCAGAATGTTGTATTAGCTTTTCCTTGAGAACACATGAACAAATAAATATCTCCTCACTCCAGGTAGGACACCGACAGTAGACCAAAGCAGCAAGTCTAGCTTGATGAACCAATGCAGTAAATTGGGATCACTTAGATGGACACATACCACCAAAGCAAAATGTCCCACATCCTCGCTCCAGCAGTCTTTAACCATCAGGGAGGGATCCTGTGGGCCTAGATAGCTCTTCTCCCTCCCATGAGAGAATGCTCGCAGCCTCAGCTCTGAGAGTCGCCTGCAGGACAGCCCAGCTGCTCTGACTTCAAGAGCCTGGCCATACCATGCCCAGAGGGAATGGCTGCACGGTGCAGGAAAACCTAAGGGAGAAAACTTACTTTGGCACAGTCTCAGGTTGCAGTGAGGAGAGCTCCGCCCATCACCACAGTCCAGGAAGCAGAGTGAAAGCCATCCCTGGGGCCTGAGCTACAACATCCTGAAGTCTTGTCGGTAGTGACTTTCTGCTTCCAGGTAGACCTGCTTCCTAAATAGCATCCACTTAGCTGCTCCAAAAAAACTCCACCAGCCAGGGAGCATGTGATCAACCCGTTAGCATATAGAGACATCTCAGGAATAAACAAAAAGCACTTCAAGCTACTTAACCCTCAGAGAATTGCATCACACAAATACTTTATAGAAAATAGCTCTAAGAGATTTAATTAGAGTGAGGCTGCCTAAATGCCCTCCTGGTGCTTAGGCACCTTTCTGGATCTACGGGATTTTTTTCCCTTAATTTTCAGTAATTTGTATCCTTAGCAACTTTAGAAAATAATTTCATCTGAAAACTGCCTGAAGCTAAAGGTTTATATTTCCAGATTCAGCAAAGTATGTTGAGCCAAACTGGTTTCATGATTAATTGTGTTCTGCCGACTTGACCCAATGAATTTGTTTTCTGGTTATAGTTACTCTGTATCTTATTTTCATGAAAATGAACTAAAACAGCTTAGCCTGCTTAAGTACTGGGCTCCCGAGCTGTTTTCTCTTTTGTTTCCTGTATCCCAGCATAAGAACTGGTCTGCTTCTCCCGTCTAGGCTCTGGAGAATCACTTACAGCAGAAGCATTCTGCAGAGCTGCAGTCACTGAAAGACGCGCACCGAGAGTCCATGGAGGGCTTCCGCATGGAGATGGAGCAGGAGCTTCAGACGCTCCGCTTCGAATTAGAAGACGAAGGAAAAGCGATGCTTGGTATTGTGGGAAGGATCATAATCTTGTCGTACTGAGGGTACAGTCTTCCATTGTAAACCTCAGCAGGAAGCATCAAGCTGTGTATTTAGATTTTGGAACATCAAGATGATGCTTCCGTGTGAAGAGGCAAGGAGAGCAGACTAGAATGGTGTCAGCTTCCTCTGCCCTCTGAGAAAGCAGTGTTCATAAGCGATTTGTCTGTCTTTGTGGAGCTAAATGGAAGCAGGACACTTTGGGGTCCCAGAAATAGGTCACTCGCCAGTAGCCCCCATTCACCCCCACATACACCCGTGCATGCACCCACATCTACCCCCACATGTGCAGCCACACACAGATCCACTCACGCACTCACGTGTGCACCCCCACACATGGCTCATGGCTTGGACCTCACAGGCATGTGTTTCTACTTCAGGATTTGGTTTTGGTAAGAAAGAAAAAAAAAAACAGCCTTTTATTGAAATCTCTTTCATGTGGGAATCTTCCCTATGAGGTGGTTCTTTGTAAAATGAGATAAAAGTTTTGAAGAAAAAATTAGATGTGTATTTAAAAATTTGCTTATGGCTTTTTGATGTTATTAGATAACTCATTTCTGCCATCTCATTTTCCTTCTGCTTGATTCAATTCCTAAATAATTCTCCTGGTATTTCTTCCTGTGTGCTTGGCGTACTCCTGTGTATACTCTTTCCAGGTGGGACTTGGGAGCAAAGAGGACTAGCAGGGTGTGAGTGGCTCTCTGGATCTCAGACGGGAGCCACGTGTCCTGTCCATCAGCCATTGGACTGGTGCTGATGTCCTAGGCCATGCTGGTACAGTTCCCATATTTCTCCTTGAGAAGCCCTATGACACCTCACATGAAAGTCAGAGCAGTGGCGAACTTTTATCCAAGATTTGTGAAGTATCACATTGTGCGCTAAAGCCCACACTGTGCGGTTTTATTAAAAATGAATGCTGCTCTCTGTCTTTGCACGGGGCTGAGAGTTAAGATCAGAAGTGGCCTTTGTTGAATGATGGCCCATGAGGGAGGTCATGTCCTCAGCTGTGTGATGTGAAGTTGAAGGAGCCAGGTGATAGAAATATTCTTGTTAAGCCCACTGAAATGTGATTTAAGTACCATTGTGTTGAAGAGAGATTTTGGGAACCTCTAAAAAAGTTTTCTTTTTAAGATAGCTGTAGATTTGCATACCTTTTTAAATTTTCTTATTATTTTTTTAAAAAGAAAACAAACTATGTTTTTCATTATACTTACCAATCCAAGTTCCCACTCTCTTCCCTTCTCCCATTCCCTTCACTTACTTTTTCACCCCACCCCCATCCACTCCTCAGAGAGGGGAAAGCACATTGTTTTGGGGAAAATCCATGGCCCTCCCTCCTATATCTAGGCTGAGCAAGATGTCCATCCAAAAAGAATAGGTTCCCAAAAAGCCAGTACAAGCAGTAGGGATAAATCCTGGTGCCACTGCCAGTGGCCCCTCAGTCTACCCCGGCCATTCAACTGTCACCCACATTCATAAAAAATAGTTTGGTCCTATGCTTGTTCCTTCCTAGTCTGTCTGGTGTTGGTGAGCTTCCATTAGCTCAGGTAAACTGTAGACTGTTTCAGTGGGTGAACCCATCATGGTCTTGACCTCTTTGCTCATATTCTCATTCCTCCCACTCTTCAACTGGAATTTGGGAGGTCAGTCCAGTGCTCCAATGCTGATCTCTGCCTCTGTTTTGATCAGTTGCTTGAAGAAGGTTCTATGGTGATATCTAAGATATTCATCAGTCTGACTACAGGTCAAGGCCAGTTTGGGTTCCCTCTCCTCTATTGCTTAGGGTCTTAGGTGGGGTAATCCTTGTGGATTTCTGGGAATTTCTCTAGAGCCAGGTTTCTTGCTAACCCCATAATGGCTCCCTCAATCAAGATATCTCTTTCCTTGCTCTCATCTCTGTCCTTTCTGTATCTCAACTATCCCTTTCCCTCAACTTCTCCTCACCTCTCCCCTTCTCTCCTCCCTTTCTCATCCACCCCTATGTTCTCAATTTTGTCAGGTGATCTTGTCTATTTTGACTTTCTAGGTGGCTCTATATGTGTTTTTCTTAGGGTTCATCTTGTTACTTAGCTTCATTAGGATCATGAACTATAGGCTCAATATCCTTTGTTTATAGCTATTATTCACTTATGAGTGAGTACATACCATATTCATCTTTTCGGGTCTGGGTTACCTCACTCAGGATGGTGTTTTCTAATTCCATCCATTTGCATGCAAAATTTAAGATGTCATTGTTTTTTTACTGCTGAGTAGTACTCTAATCTGTAAATGTGCCACATTTTCTTTATGCATTTCAGTTGAGGGGCATCTAGGTTGTTTCCAGGTTCTGGCTATTAAAAATAATGCTACTATGAACATAGTTGAACATATATCTTTGAAGTATGATTAAGCATCTTTTGAGTATATGCCCAAGAGTGGTATTGCTGGATCCTGAAGTAGGTTGATTCCCAATTTTCTGAGAAACTGCCATACTGATTTCCAAAGTGGTTATACAAGTTTGCATTCCCACCAGCAATGGAGGAGTGTTTCCCTTACTACACATCTGTTGGAAGGAGGTGGCTTGTTGGTTCCTGGTCACTCGGCTAGCTTAGACCCAAAATAATCACACAGAAACTGTTTTAATTACATCACTGCTTGGCCCATTAGCTCTAGCTTCTTATTGGCTAACTCTTATATTAATTTAACCCATTTCTATTAATCTGTATATCACCACGTGGCCGTGACTTACCGGGTAAAGTTCTCAGCATCTGTCTCCAGTGGCTCCATGGCTTCTCTCTGACTTCACCTCCTTTCTCTCAGCATTCAGTTTAGTTTTCCCTGCCTACCTCCATTCTACCCTATCAACAGGCCAAGGTAGTTACTTTATTCACCAATGATATTCACAGCATACAGAGGGGCATCCCACATCACCTCCACTTTTCTGTTTAAATAAAAAGGAAGGTTTTTAACTTTAACATAGAAAAATTACATACAACAAAATAGGTATAAAGCAAGATCTTCTGGCTTTTATGGTTTCCATTAAGAAGTTGGGTGTAATTCTGATAGTTCTACCTTTATATGTTACTTGATCTTTTTCCTTTGCAGCTCTTAATATTCTTTCCTTATTCTTTATGTTTTGTGTTTTGATTATCATATGGCAAGGGGACTTTTTTGTCTTGTTTTGTTTTGTTTTTTGTTTTATCCAGTTTACTTGGTGTTCTGTAATCTTCTTGTACCTACATAGGGATATCCTTCTTTAGGTTGGAAATGGTCTCTTTTATGATTTTGTTGATTATAGTTTCTGTGCCTTTGAGCTGGAGTTCTTGTCCTTCTTCTATCCCTATTATTGTTTGGTTTGGTGTTTTCATGGTGTCCCAGATTTCCTGTGTGTTTTGTGTTAAGAATTTGTTGTATTTAGCCAGGCGGTGGTAGTGCACGCCTTTAATCCTAGTACTTGGGAGGCACACTCAGGTGGATCTCTGTGAATTTGAAGCCAGCCTGGGCTACAGGAGTTAGTTCCAAGACAGGCTCCAAAGCTACAGAGAAACTCTGTCTCAAAAAAAAAAAAAAATCAAAAAAGAATTTGTTGGGTTTAATGTTTTCTTTGACCAATGAATTGATTTCCTCTATAGTAGCTTCAACACCTGAGATTCTCTCTTCCATCTCTTATATTCTGTTGGTTATACTTGCCTCTATAGTTCCTGTTAGTTTGCCCAGATTTTCCATATCCAGAATTCCCTCAGTTTGTGTTTTCTTTATTACCTCTATTTCAGTCTTTACATCTTGACCTGTTTGCTTTATCTGTTTGTTTTTTTTCCCCTTGGGTTTCTTTGAGGGATTTATTAATTTCTTCCAATTTTTTTGTTTATTTTTTCCTCTATTTCTTTAAGGGAGTTTTTCATTTCCCCTTTAAAGGTCTCCATAATCTTCATAAAGTTATGTGCAAAATAGTTTTCTTCCGATTCTTCTTTTTCCAGGTTATCATGATCAAGTTTTCCTGTTGTGTGACCACTGGGTACTGGTGTTACCATGTTGCCTTTTAGGTTGTTAGATGAATTCTTGCATTGGCGCCTACCCATCTCTTCCTTCAATTGATGCCGGCAGTATTTTTTTTTCCATTTCCACATTATATTTATTGATAGACAGGAAAGAGAAGTCTTTCATATAGGTATGAAAGCTTCCACTGGAGGTAAGAAACCTCTCCAGCTATCTTATCTTGCTGATAAGATAGTGTGGTGACTATTGGAAGTTGGATACATAGTTCGTGCATATGAACAGTCAAAGATCTTTGAGAATATTGCAGAATAAACAGATGAGACAATAAAACATAATTTTTTTCTAAAGATAAAATATAAAACATTTAAAAATGTGAAATCCTGTAAAGCAAACATAAACACATGCCTTATAATTTATAAACATTATAATACATAACTATTTTTATATTGATTCAAAATTCAGCAATAAAACCTTAAAAGGAATGTGATTATATGGTTAACAGTAAAGGAAATATATTTTTAAACATACAAAATTCTGGCCAAGTTGTTTAGTAACTGTATAATACATTTCATAATATATAACATTTACAAATCAAGTCACATTGTATCGTATGGAAACATTCTATTTTTCTACTCCGTTTTACTATCAACCTATAACTTACTAGAAAATAGTCAATCAATTCACATAAAACTGTGCTGAACCTGTCCCACTGGGAAAGGTCTAGAGGTCTAATTGAAAACCATGTGAGTAGGACTGCAGAGAAATAGAATTCCTATACATAAGCAGAGGGCAGATAAATTGGTGTCATACTTGCTCTTCTGTAGGGAAATTTAATCATATTTATCAAATTTAAAATGTGTGCTCCTATTGTCCTAGAATGTTCGCTCCTGGTATTTATTCCACAAATGTAATTACATGCATCCAAAATTAAATAATTATGTTTTAGGTCATTCATTGAAAGACTGTTAGTAATAGGAAAGGAATGGAAGCAATTCATATAAACATCAGAAGGAAAGAATATGTACATGGAATCTTTACTCATTTAAAACCAGGTCTGTGCTCTCTGAAGCAGATATGTTCTGGAAGTCATAACACTTGGATTGGCTGTAACATAAGTATATTACACTACATTGCTGAAAAGAGCTAATTCAGATCCTCTGTATCAATTACATCAACCATATGCAGCAATATGTTTGGAGAAAGGTGCATTAGATGAAAATGCATTAAAGCCACAAATATTTTTTTTCTTCCTGTCAGTAGCTAATCTGTGCATTTAAGACAATGTTACATTGCTGGTGTGGGGAAAATACAGAGTCAAAGATGACCATTTACTTATTCCTCAAAAGTACAAGCTCTAGATACACATGGTTATACCTTTGGTTAAAATGACAGAAGGAACTTTACAGATGCAATTAACGTAGTGGACACTCATAAGGCACTTTGTCATACCATTTCAAGAATGGCCTAATCTAATTTACTATCTAAGAGATTATATACAGAATAGAATTCCTGATCAGAAGAGAGTAGGAAAGGATGCCAGACACGGCAGAAAAAAAAAAAAGTCACAAAGAAAGATCCTATACACCTCTTCCTGCCTGAGAGTTGGAAGTTACAAAATAGAATGCAGGACTCCTTCAAAACCTTAGAGAGCATGACAGGCAGCAAGCAACTGAACTCGTGTATGAAGTAGTCCCAGTCTTGCAAGGTAAATGGACAGAATCATGGCTTGACAGTAGAGGGCTGGCAGTATTTTTGTGTCTTGGTCCAATCCTTGTAGTGTATCTCTGAGATTTTGAGTATTGTTCTTGGTCTGCTCTGTACTGTGAAGTCTGTGTCTCAGAGAGCCACTGAAGTCTTTCTTAGCCTGATCTCTTGGTCTGCTCTCCTCATTTCTTTCCTTGGTCCACTGTGTGGAGTCACAACTTGTGCTTTAGAGTTCCTCTCTTTGTCCTCTCAGCAGAAAACTCTCCTGCAGGCTGGCCAGATAATCTGAAATAGGTGGGGGAGTGGCCCGGGCTTTGCAACACTATGCAGGGCCTAGACAGTGGCGTTTCCTGCCACAGCCACATGGCTGCACATGGCTGGCCACTCACCTTTTGGTCCTCTCAGTATTGTAGCAAGCTGTTTTTCAGAGTTCTACTGAGGTTGCATGATGATAGGTGAGTTTGTGGGCAGGATAGGGCTTGTAGCTTGCAGGGTCCTGTGGCTGTAGGTGAGTATTGGGGCAGCCTACCTTCAGGAAACTCTCCTGCTGACTGGCTAGAGAGGCCTAGGCAGTTGGGGGAGGGACTCAGGATTTTGCCCCACTATGGATGTTCTAGAGAGTGGATGTCCCGCCTGGTGGCTGGCCACTCCCTTCTTGGTCCTCTCTGTATTGTTGCAAGCTGTGTTTCAAAGTTCCACCAAGGTTGCAGGATGATAGGCGAGCTTTTGCATACTTTTTTTAAAATTTAATTTTTAAGATTTTTGTGAGAATTTCATATGAGTATTTACATCATCATACCATTCTCCCTCATTTCCTTCCATGTCGCTTGCTCCCTCCTAAATTCATGACCTTTTCTTCCCCGATTATTATTCCATATATTCCTATATTATTCCATTATATAGGCTGCACCTATATAAGTGCAGCCTGCTGAGGCCAAGGCCTACTGTTGCTGCTTACATATACAACTATTTAGGGCAGATGACTTGGCATTGAGCAATCTATCAGTGGGCTCTCCCACTGATGTCCCCCATCTGAAGCTAGATAAGAACCTTCTTATCTAGGGGGAGGGCCTTATGAGAGCTCTATCCACTGTGCCATGTCTACTGGTGTTGTGATTGCCCAGGTCTTCTTTACAGGACCATATCCTTGAGATTTCACGGGTGGAGCTTCCCTGTCATATATAGAGGAAATGGTACAAAAAGATTCCCTCATGTCTTTTTCCATTTCCCACTGATAGCATCCTATAAAGGTGTATTACAGTGTTACAGCAAGAGTATTTGTATGGACACTGTTAAGATGCAGGATTTTTATGTCCCTTAGAGAACACACCTTCCCTGTCTTTCCTGTGGGATTCCTGTCAAACCTCGGGATGTTCTCGATTTCTACTGCATTGGCAGTTTGTGAATGCCATCATTTCTGTATGTGGAATCTACAGTGTTTCTTTTGAAATTGCCTTCCCCCCTCACTATAATTCTCCGGTGTCACCCATGCTGTTGTGGGCATCTCTAGCTTGTGCCTTCTCATCCTAGCCATAGTCACTGTGTCACAGTGAATGATAGCGATGTTCCACATCGCAACATATCAGAAAGTATTGACTTTCCGATCTGTAGCCTTTATTCTCATTTGCCAGACCTGACCTATCTCCATGTGTATCTATCTGCTAACTACTGCTTTTCTCTCATAATTCAATTCTTCCTTGGTGTGAGTGTGTGTGTAGCTCTTCTTTTTGATCTACTTTCATGGCTTTATCTATCACCCGTGTGCTGGGGACTTCAAATGGGTGTTTCTAGATCAAACTTCTTGGTTTTGTACATTAAGTTGTTATTTATTGCTACCTGTTGAGAAGCTGTTTTTTAAATAGTCTTTAAAATATGATCTTATCATTTCCCTGTAATTATCCATCCCTGTACTTCTCACCCTGATTTATTCTATCACTTTTTTCAGTTGTCAAAACTGGGAAAGTGGGAATGACATTTTTTTCTCTTTCGCTGCTACATTTTGTCTGCCAGTTCTTAAGTCATCTTAATGCATGTTTCTCTCCCTTAGTTAGTCTGCCTGTCATACTAACTTCAAGGCCAGATGATTTATCTCTCTTTTAGATTTATTTATTCTATTTTGTGTGTGTGAATGTTTTGCTTGCATGTATGTCTGTGCATCACATACATGCTTGATGCCTTCAGAGGTCAGAAAAGGATGTTGATCTCCTGGAACCATAGTTACACACAACCGTGAGCATCCATGAGGGTGCTGGGCATCAAACCTGGGTACTCTGCAAGACCAGGTTTTCTTAACCCCTGAGCCTTCTCTCCAGCCCCTTACATCATTTTTCTAAAGATTGCTGTCATAACCTTCCTCCTGACTTGCCTTCCCACAGTTCATTTTCCAGTTTGCTGTCAGAGGAAACTTTGAAATGCTTACGCCTCACACGAGACATTCCACTTTTAATCCTCCCAAGGTTCTTCATGACAGTGTCTGGCAAGTTCTTCTACTAAAGCCCTTAGCACCAGGAGAAACTGAGCTGAAGTTCTCCATGAAGGCCTCAAGAATTTCTTAAGTTGGCCAACTACAAGCAATGGCAGCATCTCTTCAACTAGATTTCATATATTAGCTTTAAAAACCATACTTTGCATTTTTCTCATTTACATCTCCATATAACACTTAAAAATGTTCTTGAGACATTCATACCCAAGGAAATACCATGGTAAAGCTCTGAGTTCGGTGACAAACATAGCCACTCGTATCACAGTTTGAGGGCCTAGAGTTTAAAGTAAGATCCGTACAGGTTTCATTGTCTTTCATGCCTCCGTGCACCCTGTGACCTCCTCCTATACAGAATTGACAGCGAGATTCTACCTCCTTTTGCATGTTCTGCCTTCGTGATGAAATCCTCTCTTTCTCTATGCAGGAGCCCCAATTCCACCTTGCTGTATTGCAGACCAAGTCACCCTAACAAGTCTCTGTGTGACTGATCCCCAATCTGACTCTCAGAAAGTGGGGTAGATTCACCATTGAGTTTTCATTATACTTAAAAGTAGCTTGTGATATGACAGTTAGTTCCTTGGAGTAATGTCTTCACCTCTGGCTTATGATGTTATAAAGACAGTGTCAAATTTTACTCTCTCTTAGGATACTGTTGTCATTCAATAAATGTTGTGTGCTATATGAAATAATTAATTCCAGGACTAGGCATAACACATGCCTGTAGTCCCAGTACATGGGAGATACATGCAGGAGAATCAATATTTTAAGACCCCAATGGCATAGTGAGTTCCAACCAGTCTTGTCTACATGAGACCCTGTCTCAAAAAAAAAAAAAAATTAAAACGGAAACTCAATTCCAAACTCTAATGAATGTGATGTCTGACCTCCAGATCATTAGGAGTTTTTATCAGCCAGTATTTTCTACACTCTAGGGATATTGTAAAGTATTTTCTACTGGGAGGAGATATTGCCTCTTAATCATTTGTCATTGAGCAGCTCTAAAATCTGTATTGTCTTAATAATATAAAACAGCAAACATTTCATCTCCACTACTCCTTTATGTTCAAACTGAGTTCACACACAAAACAAACACCTTTGTCATTTAAGTTCTTGACATTTCTAATATCCTCATCAAAGCTAAGTAGATTTCAAATCCACATATGATAATCTATTTATGCACATTTAGCGAATGTCCTAATTTTAAAAGTAATATTTTGGATCTTTTATATTTTTTTTCTTAAGGTATTAGTAGTATTTTGGAATTTTCTAACCCTTCCCCTTTGCATGCCAGCTTCCTTACGATCTGAACTAAACCATCAACATGCAGCTTCAATTGATTTGCTACGGCATAATCACCATCAAGAACTGGCAGCAGCGAAAATGGAGCTAGAGCGAAGCATAGACATCAGCCGAAGGCAGGTAAGTGTGAGCACGTCCTGCCGATCCCTTAAATCTGGGTCCCCCGAACCCGCCCGCTAGGAGGGGGACTTTGAAATAACTGCTAATTGCGCCAGTTATTACCAACATGATTAAGAGTTTTCTTTTTCACAGAGAGGAGCAACCTTACTTTTGTATGTCAGTTATACAATTACATATTATTTTACGACCTTTTGACTGAATATTTTGCAATTTGTTTACATCTTAGGAAAATAAACAATAAAATATAAACAAAATATAAAGGGTAAGGGCAGCTCTATTTGCTAGGACGAGCCATGACAAAACACTGTTCTGTGTCTGGGAGGTCCACTGGGGTAGTTGGTAACCACATAGCCCAGGTTTGTCCAGTATGATCAAAACTTCATTTTGAATTTTATGTATTGTAATTTAACTGAAATAGTTACATTGCATGACTCAACTATATAGGAGGAGTAGATCTTCAAAAAAAAAAAAAAGATAATTGATACTTCCAAAGTATTCACTACTGCTTATACTTTTTAGACTTTGCTCTTTGGTCCAGTATGTTTTTTGTTTATAAATTTGGTAATCTGTGATTGTGACGATGTGTATGCATGGAAGGAAGCAGCAGTAGGCACTGCAGAGAACGCTGCTGTTAACTTATTACACTTACAAGGTTTACGTCCTTGGTAACCATGTTAAGTGGTCAGCTTGGACTTGCTCTTCTTTGCTAGGATCTTTTAAATGAGTCACCTTGTAATGATAGAGGGAAGTTACTCTTTGACTATGTCTACAGTAAATGTCTACTTTATGGATCTTATAGAAACATTGACTTGGAGGGAAATCCTTTCTAGGTAGATAACTGTTAGGACAGCAGTGAAAGCAGGCAAAGTCTGCCTTTCTGAAGAATGGAATGTGTGTGTTGGTCGGGGGCTTCCTAGATGGAAATCCTTTTGACAGTAAAGAACTGTGGTACCAGCCGTTTACTACAAGAGCTATACAACTTACTGAGAGACCCAGGTTCTACTCTTGACTCTGCCATTGGTCATAAATTATCTTTGAGACAAATGATCTCATAAGTAGTGATTTCCTCATTCTAAAATGAGCAAGCTATGCTTTCACCATCTTTTGAGACCCTTGCGCTCCTGATATTGCAACTATGTTCATATAAGTTCTTCTTAGCTATACGGAAGAGAAAGGGCTTCAAGGTTTTCTCATTTTAAGCAGCTTGTTTTTGAAGCCTGTCAGAATGATTATACTTAATATTTAAAATTGTCCTTTTCTCTCCCTCATACACAGAAAACAAATCTGTAGAAAACATTATAGCATTCCTTGTTTTTTGCAGAGTAAGGAGCACATGTGTAGAATAAGTGACCTACAAGAGGAGCTACGGCACCGAGAGCACCACATCTCAGACTTAGACAAGGAGGTCCAGCACCTCCATGAAAACATTAGTACCCTAACGAAAGAACTGGAGCATAAGGGGAAAGAAATTCTTAGAATCCGAAGTGAATCCAACCAACAGATGAGGTATGTCAGTAACTACAGCGGAAGGTAGATGCCTTGTTGACTAGAATATTGTTTCAGACACACAAAGCATATGCCCCTAGTTTTGTGACTAGTCTGCCCTCCCAATAATATTGTGAAGACCACTTTTTACTATGTGGTGGGGATGATATCATCTGGAAAATACAATGTCTGCATTTTGATGATGTATTTATTATTCATTAGTTTTGGGAAATGATTATAATTGAAGATTTTTTAAATTTTTATTAGAGAAAAGCATTAAAGGAGACAAAATTTAACATTAACTAGACAATTACAGCAAACTGTATAGCTTAACTTAACTTGTTTACATTAATTTTCCAAATATTATACCAAAAAGGGGGGCATTTCAAATCTTGTAGAACGTAGGAATTTTGAAAACTTGACTTCAGAATAACATTTTCTTAACTGAAAATAAATCAAACAGGTTGCATGAACAAGATTTAAACAAGAGACTTGAGAAATAGCTGGATGTCATGACAGCAGACCACCTCAGAGAGAAAAATATCATGCGGGCAGATTTTAATAAGACTAATGAGCTACTCAAGGAAATAAATGCAGCTTTACAAGTGTCGTAAGTCATATTGCATTAAAGAAAATTCATGTGTGGATAATAAACAGAGGAGCACTGTGTGTAAGCTCAGCTTCACTGTTCGAATCTAATAAAGCAATGATACTTAGTGAGGAAGACTTAAGTACTGTATTGGAGATGTAAGTAGTATCAGTGTGATATTATGTTCTTTAATTAGGATAAGGCCGTTGAATGATTTTGCTTCATTTGCTGCTGTTGCCACAGGCCTGCTAAAATCACACGTATCTTTAAGAGTGGCCCCCGTCATACATCACTTCCACGATGACGTCTAAGTGTGTTTGTGATATAATGTAAAGTCTTCAGTACATTGTGAGCAACATAAATTTTATAAGGCCAGGCTTCAGTTAGCAATGCATGTTTCACAAAAAGCAAAATATCCTTCAAAGCAAACATACACTTTGAACATAGTGATTCCAGTTAGCAAGAACATTGGTAGTTCCCAGGGAAGCAAAAGAGCTGAGGCTTCCTTTCCTATCCCAGGGTACTGCTTGAATCTCTGCAGTTAGCATTTAAATGTTTTTTTTTTTATTCAAGAAATCTATAAAGTAAAATCATCACAAATAAAGCTATTGCTCAAGTTTAGTAAGCCCATTATTCAAGTCAAGGTTTGTATGTATTTCCTAACGTTCATTAAGAAGATTAATAGCCCTGTCTTTTCTGGATCCTTACAAACTGCGGCAGAAGCCAGTCCGTCTCTCACTTTGAATCCAGTCTGTCTCTCTCACCTAGGCCCCGTCTCCTTTAGTTTATCTTAGGCTTACTCTACTCTAGCTGCTGCTAATGACTCATTCACTGATAGTCCTTTTCCCAGTTATCCAGATACTTCAGTAAAGTGACATTAAGTCACCACTGCCCAGAGGGTCGGACTCTTAGCTTTGTTTGCTTCTGCATTTGTGTTATCCCCACTTACCTACCTCAAATATAGATACCATTGCCACCTCTTCTATCCCTGTAACCTCTCAGTCTCAGCCCGTACTCTGCCAGTAGAGGCACAGATGCAGACACACGTAGACATAGTCATGTAGAACTAGGCCCCAGCTGCTGGTGTTCCTGGAGCGGCCTCTGATGATGTGCTCTTTCTGATGCGCTCATTGGCCCTCTTTGCATAGTGTTCATGTGGTGAATTTGTCCCGAGTAAATTTCAGGAGGGTTCCCACTCAGTGACGTTACCCATAAAATGGAGAAGAACCTCATTATTTCTAGAAAGTCAGTGATGTGTTCTTTGCTCTTTTTTCAGCCAATCTTTAAGTTTTTTTTTCAGCCATCATGCCCTCACATGTGTGCAATGCAGCAGGACATACATGTAACAGGTTTGGTAGAAATCAGATAAGATGAGCCTCAGTGGCATGGCTCTCACACTTCCTGACCTTTGTGTATACTGCGCAGACCCTGATATCCTGCTGGCCCTCTTCACATCCTGAAAGAGCACACTCAAACAAAGAACAGTCTGTGTTTGTCTGTGTGTCTGACATCGCCTTAGAAATAGTAACTTACAAAAAGGAAAGGGTGTGTCTGTCTGGACATTATTCTTTTCTGTGGTTTTGCTCCTTAAGAAATTTTAATAGACAGAAAACATTAATATCTCTATACTTTAATCTTTTAATAATTGAAGAATTAGTATTATTAATAAATAAAATATTTTGCCTTTTTTTTAAAACAGGCATTCATTTTTCTACTTTGCCTTGGGTCCACACTAACCAACCACATTTCTCTGTTTTTACCTGCTAACATCATATAATTTGTCCTTTAGCTTTAGGTAATCACTTGTTTAATTAAAGTCAAATAATGTACACTTATTTTTGACTTACACTGTCCCTCAGATTTTTCCCTGATAACAAATGTTCTGTATTGGCTCTTCCCAGTCTAGTAGGCATTAGCCATGAGTGGTTATGCAACACTTGAACTGGAGCCAGTGTGACTGAGAACTTAAAATCTAATTCACCATAATTATGGAAATGCAAATAACAGTCAGTGGACTAGAAGCTAGCATACAGGAAAGCAGTACTGGATGCTTCTGGCCATGTCATTGCCTGAAGGTTGTCAATCTGCTGAGCGGTTAAGATTTAGACAGCTGATTAGTGGGAGAGTCCTTTCCAGTTTACAGTTGGGGGCTCGGGGTAATGTGAACTGCTCACAGCCTATTGCAAGGGTTACCCGATTGTGTTTGGAACACCTGCACCTCAGCTCTGATGCTTCAGATTCAGAGAACCCCAGTGAATTATTAGAAGGGTGGGGGTGGGGTACTGTAAAGATCTACACTTCAGCCTACAGGCCAAAGTATGGTGCTGAGGAAACTGTGGAGCAGTTGGGAGCGTCTCCTCACTTCTGCTACAACTCCTTTTGAACCTAGAGAGAACATAGTAGAACACATATAAAGGAGCATAGAAATAGTGCGAGAATCTCTGTCTTTGGAATGGCTTTTAGAAATTGTGCTCAGTAGTCCCGATTATTCAGACCCTCTTACAGTTTCATGGAAATTTGCTTGTCTTGACTATTAACCTCTCAAGAACTCTGCATCTAATTTTAAAATGTATTGAGTTCCATTTGTTTAAAAAACAAGCAGGGGCTAGGATATAGCTCAGTGATAGAATGTTTGCTTATCCTGCACAAGACAGTGGTTTAATTTCCAAGACCCCCAAAGGGAGATAAAACATAACATCAAATGAGAGGATAGGTTACTCAGTTTTACCTAAGTGACATCTTCCTTAGGTAAAGAACGTTTAAGATAAATTAAAAACTGTGCTAGTACTTTGGGGTTCAGAACTATTTATGGTATAAAAAATGGTTAGGGTTTATCATTTTAGTTTTGTGGGTTTGTTATGTGTTGGTTTGTTTTTTGAAACAGGATTTCACGTAGTCTTTGAAGGGCCTTGAACTCTTGCTTTCCCTGTGACTCTCTCCCAAGGGTTGGGATTGCAGATGTGGACTGTCATACCTGTCCAGAGTGCTTTTGATTGTTTAGGTTTACTTTAAGTTAGCCCCTCACTCTACTGAAACAAAAAGATCATTTCTCTGTGAGAACTGTCAATTCTGCACATGCGTGTTAGATAGGCCAGGAATTTCTAACTATAAGGATATGCTCTGCCATGCCAGAATTGCTTATTTGAGTCCTTAATCTCTAAAACTCCAATGATTTTATAGTTATTTGGTTCTCTGTTTAATTTTCATAAGCTTTGAGAGTGTCTGGAAGTAGCTGTGGTCTTGTTAACACAAAAGAAAATCCCAGAAATTATCGGGAAAGTTCAACTGCGAAATGCTTCAGTCCTATTACTTTTATATGTAACAGAATTCATAAAATGTAATTTCTGGGCTGCATGTGTTCCTGGTAATGGTATTGATCAGCTCTACACTTTCTTGTCATTGATTTTCTTGTCAGTTGGGTCTTATAAAGCAACTGGAGGTAGAGGATAACTTGGAAAATGTCTTTGTACATTTAATACAGGACTGTGTTGTTCATGAGCTATGGAAATATGGCCTCTATACGCTGAGCCAAACACATGTTTTTATACACACACACACACACACACCCAGACACACACACACTGAGAGATATGCTTGGCTAGAGTCTTGTTGTGATCCTAGTTAGCATTCCCATGTGTTCTGCTTCTCCTTTCTACAGTCAGTCTTTGTATTACTTTTTAATGGTAATCTGAAAACACAATGAAAATAAAGTTAGATTCTACCTGCCATATCAATCAATGTTCAGAGGCCTGACTTTTATGAATTCAGGTCAGAAACATATTTCATAGAGGCCATTTAAGAACTATGGCACCAACAGACTCTTTGTGGTGGGAAGGGTTAGAGCCCAGCTGGCATAGTAGTACATGCCTGTAATACTTGCACTTGGGGGGACCAAAGTAGGCCATCTCTGAGTTTACATCAAATCCAAGACACAACATCAAATTCAAGACACAAACTGAGGCCCCGTGTCAAAGAAAGGAAGGATGGAAGAAAGCAGAAAAACTTTAAAACAAACAAACAAAAAAACAGAAAACAAAAAAAACATAATCAAACTTAAACACCCCCCCCCCCAAAATCTCCTGCTTCTTAGTCATCCTTTGCGCTCAGCCTTTTCGCACTGTTGGTCTCGTGAGCTGCTCAGATGGCTGCGGGAGGGAAACATTGACTAGTGTTGCCTGGAAGTGGATATCGATGGTACTGAGTTCCTTCCTGTTAGAATGCTGGATGAGCTTCTTGTGCATTTGTAAGTTATAACTGGTTCATAAGAGTTTCTTGTTCTCTCCTTTAATGCTTTCCAATCTATACTTAGAGCGTGCTTGCTATCAATACTTTGTCTTCAGATTATCTAGTTTTATTTTTTTGTTAAAATTGTTGCTGGTGTAAAGATATGTTGTGGGAGAATTAGCTTAGTAATTCTGTAGGTAACATGTTTCCGCTGAGCTAGGTGTGGCGGTGAACACACTTTTAATCCCAGCACTTGGGAGGCAGAAGCAGTGGATCTCTGAGAGCTAGAGACTAGCCTGGTCTACACAGTGGGTTCCAGGCGAGCCAGGGCAACACTGTGAGACCCTTTCTAAAATAGTAACAACAGGATGTTTCAGTTAAATTAAAACATACACTTGAATGGGGAGATCTTTACAACTAAAAGAGGTTCCAAACCTGTAAATGATTGTCTTAGATTCATTTTACTTCTTCTCTTTGTTCTGCAACAAAAATATCAAGGGTGGGGTTTACCTACTTTCTACCTGCTCTTTCCAACCTTAGGAAGTGGCTCCAAATGGGCTTTGCTTCCAACCACAAAGGCAGCACTCCAGTGACATCTTGTGGCTGCTCCAGCACAAAGCCCAAATGCCCCCCCCCCCCCCCCTTTGAATAGATAGAATTTTTAAACCTGAATAGAAAACTGAAAACCTTGGTTCATAAAATGCATACAGGCAATTCTTTTCATATTGTAATCAAATTGCAAGACAATTCTGTGACCGCAAAGGATATCATTTATTGTTGCTTAGTACACACTGTCCAAAGAGAGAAGGGGAAAATGTACTGAGATATGCTGTGTGCGTAACTTCAGTACTGATTTAGCCAAGTCCCGGGTGAGCCAGGAACAGTCACTGTCTGGCGCCTCACTTTCCTATCCCCCTCAGGGCAGCAGTCATGGGCAGGATGGAAAGCTAGACATTTTTCTCCAAATAATTTGTTTGGCTTGGATTAGTGGTAGGCTTGTATGACTCAAAATACAGAGACTGTCTACTCTCTAGGATTTGCCCGATGGGACAGTGACAGATCACTGGTGTCTGCATCATCTAGAAATTACTCAGTACTTGTTAAGTAAATTTTTTCAACACTCTTCATTAGCCACAACTTAGTAAGTTTTAATTCTACCTTATCTATTCTGAAAATAATAAAAATTAATTCTTTAATTATTGATTATTTCTGAAACAGTTCTTTTTCCCAAGACCAAGGCAGAAGATAGCATTTGTTTTCTTTTTTATCGGCCCTGCCTCTACTCTTAGCCTCTGCATTATCCGTGTCCCCTCTGCTCATAAAGAACAGCCTGTGTTTAGTCTTCAGTGTCACCCACGTCTGTTCACAGTCTTTTGCCATCCAGGAAAGAGTAGGCCTGCCAGAAATTGTGATTTTTTTTAACTGATGAGGGTTTTTTTTACTGGTCCTTTTTAGCAGATGATGTAGAGTTTCAAAACTGCATTCCCCACAAACCAAACAAGAGGATGTCATTCATGTGTGTCTTTTGTTCCCCCTTTGTATCTTTTCTTGTTCTTCATGTCTGTCACATACCTCAGCACACAGTATTGTAGTGATGGTAATCACTCCTGTCACTGACCTGAGCCTGTGAAGTTTGTATCACTCAGTGTCTCAGTGCCTTCCCAGAGCTTAGCTTACCTCGCTCACATCCCAGGTAAAGTGGATAGACCCCTCCAGATATAGCCTGTGGCAGGAGCACTTAATGTCTCTTATTCCTGCGGAGCCTTTAGCAACTGCAGCTCTTGAGGCGGTTACCGTGCTTGCAAGTCTTGTGTTATATCTGTGTATATTTAACTGGACCAACTGAAAGATGTAGGTATTTACTAGAACAGGATGTGTCTGAGTCCTGTCGTGAGATAAAGGTTTTCTCGTTTATAGACTAGAAGAAATGGAAGAAAAGTACCTGATGAGAGAATCAAAGCCAGAAGATATACAGATAATCGCAGAATTAAAATCCTTGCTTACAGAGAGAGACCAGGTCATAAAGAAACTAATTGTAAGATATTTTCTTTTTAGTACAACTATGTCAGTAATCGATAAACTATTGGTGGGGGAGGCATGGGGAAGTGTTTTTGAATAATTCTAAATGAAAATGAAAAATGCAAAATCTTTGTATTGTGATCAAGTTTATTAGAACATAATTTCAAATTTAAATTTGACATATATTCTAGTGGGAATTTCACACTTTTCTTCAGTGTTTTTATTGAAATATTTTAGTACTTATTAAATGTTTAATAAAGCCATTACCATTTAATAGTTAACATCCTTTATGTAGGGATGCATATTGTACATATAGAATTAGAACTAAGGAAAATCTGTTAAGATGGCTGGGAATTAGTCTGCATTGTCAACTTACCAATTAGTCTCTTTTTATGTTGTTGTTTGTTTTGTTTTGAGATAGAGTTATGCTATGGAGCCCTTAAAACTCACAGCAATCCTCCAGCCTCAGTATCTGAAGTTCTGGAATTACTGGCAGGCATCACCATGCTTGGTTCAAACAAATCATGTTAATTTCCTAAAGTGTGTTCCACCTACCACTGATCAGGAGAGCTATTGAACCATCACTCAGGAGACTGGGGTTTGAGGCCCACCTGAGCATCATATCAAATTCAAGAAATTTTTGGTATACTCAAGAACCTGTCTCAAAAGCCAAAATCGAACAAGCAAAAAGAAAGGTTTCATAGCCTAGTTTAGGAATAACTCTGTGCTCTGTCAGGGAGTTGGGATGTTTCATGTGAAGGACACTCAAAAGATTTTTAACAATAAACTTACTGTCTTCATTAAAACCATTATTACTTGGGAAAATATATATACAAATGTTTGAAAATGTATAAAATATTTTAGAATTTTCTAAAATGCTCTGCCCTGGTCAGTAATTAAAATGTTGCTGTTTATTGCCACTAATAAATGAAGATCTTCATAGTACAAGTGAAAACAATACACTAATCACCTATAGTTCCTTGATTGCTTTAATTACACACTCTGAATATTAGCATGTCACAGCACAAGACCAATCTTCTGACATCCTTTAAAAATCACTTTTATGATTTAAAAAATTCCATCCGTTTTCAGGACTGGGAAGTTGCTTCTGAAACCTACAGGGATGATTAGGGTCCAGAGAGGGAACCAGGAGTCAAGAGAGGGTTTCCTGTGGCTGCAGCCTGCCAGGCACCCCGTTTTTCTCATTCTACCCAGCAACAGTAGAGTCAGGAAGAACCGCTGTTCCATTTATGAAGTGAGCAGGCATAGCCAGTGCAGTCATCTGTGGCCCCCAGATGACTTCTTGAAATGTTACAGATACACTGTATTTATGCTCACCAGAGGGCAGATCCCCACTGTTTCTACAACACAGTCATCCCTACACCTCAGGGCGTGTGGGCCAAGGCAGTCAGTGGCAACTAAGAAGGTTAGGAAGAGTCTGGTCGTGCTGAACTACACTAGAATCGAGGCCAGTCTGAACACAGCCCATTTTCTTACCCCGCGGCTCTGTCAGCTGTGGCCTTCCCAGTCTGCTTGTTCAGTTAACACATTGTACTCATGCCTCCAAAATGAATGATTCTCTCTCTGTAGAGACCATTCCTTTTTCTAGTGCCCTGACTGTGTAATACATATGATGTCAAAGGAAAGGCGAGATGAGATCGAATCCATCTTCAGGTATTGAAGGATAATATGGTGGTATAATCCTTACATATGGAAACCACTCAGCCATATATACTAACAGAAATTCTTAGGGTCAGTGCCTGGCCCTGGCAGCCCTAACACTGGATGCTGGGTCACCCTTTCTCAATAGGCCAAGTAAACAGACAATAGTGAAAAGTAGGGAAAAAATGTATTACATGAGGCCACGTGAGAAGAGGTAAAAATAAGTCTCATGGCCTTCTCCCCTGAACCCCAGTGTCCATCACTGGGCTCCTGACATGAGACTGAGGTTTGAATGCCAGACAACAGGCGGACATAACTTAATAGTCCTGACCCTTAGCTCCAGTCTCCCTGACAAGGTGACCTGATAACCTGTCAGAAATGTCTGGAATCCTGTCTGGGGACAAGTTCTGCCTCTGCCTGGCATCTCTGTCTTTTCCTTTCTGAGCATGAGACTCAAAAAATTCCGATTCATTGGGGGACCATTGCTACTACACTCTGGCAGGTGTGTCTTCAGTGTTACCCTCATTCCTGTTGTGTGTACACACCTCAAGTACAAGTGAGACCCACTCAGATGCCACAGTCCGCACCACAAAGAGATCTAGGCCTCAGGAGATCTTGTCTTGAGTGGAAGGGTATTAGATGGTATGGTTACGTCCCTAGGCCTAGGGTTTAAAACGCGCTAAAAGCTGACCTGCTAGCAAGCTTTAAGCCACTGGCAGTCAAGCCTAGACATGTTTAAACAAAATACATAAACCTTTATAGTTTATTAAATTTTTAATGAAAAACTAGCAGTCATACAATTTAAGTTTGTAAATCTATAATAGAAAATGTTGAAAGGCTGTTTATAATTCTTTTGTATAGGAGGATAATAAATTTTATCAGCTGGAATTAGTCAATCGAGAAACTAACTTCAACAAAATATTTAACACAAGTCCTACTGTTGGTGTTATTAACCCCTTGGCTAAGGTATGTGCCACAGACACTGTAAAGTAGGGATGTGCTTGAGACCTGGAGGGAAATGGGCTAAGTTATGTGGAGCAAGCAGCATAAGGGTAGTTTTTTAAGTGTAATAATCTCCTACTAAAGTTTACTAATTCTTTGTTCATTTTCAAAATGAGCTACTCATACATTGGTAATTTATACGCCTTAAAATATTTTATTGATATTGAATCACCTTGGCTCTTTGTTTTCATATATCTAAAGAAAAGCAAACTTCTGACACAGATTAATTTATCGTCATTTCCTTATTGATCACAATAGTCTGTGTAGCTCAGAAAGACTCTGGCACCAAATGCCAAACAGTTCTCCCTAGCTGCAGGCCTTCCGTCATAGGGGAACTAAGCGTGAACCTGTAAGCTTTACTTTCACCTTCTTTGACTGTTCTTGACAATTTAGGTATAACTCTTTCTGATTCTGTATTATTTATTCTCTTGGAACAAATGGAAGAGCCTTGAATTAGATCTGGCTAACTTATGCATCATTGCCCATCTTTTCCCCCAGCCCTAGTCTTTGGGCACAGTGGGTATTCCATAAAATGTGTTAAACTGCAAAAATGTATCACATTTTTTAAAGGCAACACAAATTATTCTATAATAAAGCCAGTGATGAATAAATCATTGTATATGCTGGTTTCACATGGACTGTGAACCTCTTAGGAGAGAACAATAATAAAATAAAGCTTATATTAAAGCTGTTTTTAATCCATATTTTATTGCTTCACATTGTGCTTATTTCTGCTAGGCCCTTACCCAGAAATTTTATTTTCAAAGCTTATACAATTTCTCTGTTTAGAATTTTCAGGTGTGTTCCAAACTTTGAACTTCAGTATTTTACAAACTAAAAAATGATAGCTCTCTCTTTAGAACTTCTCATAGAAAGCTCTCAATAAATAATGAAATGAGTGAACAGAATTGATTTTATGCTGGGTTTTTGTTTGATTTTTGAAAGTCTCATGTGATCTAGGCTGCCCTTAAACTCCCTTCACAACCAAGGCTGACCTTGAACTAATACTGACTCTCCTACCTCTACCTTCTAATTGCTTGGATTATAGCTGCATGACATCCACCTGTCTTTAATTTTATTATTAAAATTAATAATTTAGATAACATAGCTTTAAATTAGAAAATAATTTAAGGTTTATGTAAACAAAGCATACTAGAGAATTGTATTTATTTTATCAAAATTAATTTTTTAGCTTTAAAACCACTATTTTAGAATTTTGCCAGAAGTATTGATTTTTTGTTTGCGTTTGTTTAGACCATATTGGTCTTGAACTCAAAGAGTGCCAGTATTAAAAAGTAAAGTGTGCTGGGCCACCTACACCTGGCTATCAACTGTCTGATTTCTTAATGAAAAAGAAACAAACATCCTGAAACCTTTAAAATGTGAAGCCCTCTGCAGATTAGATAAGACAGTGTTGCCCCTCAGCTGCTGTTGAACCTCGTAGCTTTCCAGTGTGTTGTAATATGAGTGGCAGGGCTGTGTCCCCAGCACCCCGACCACCTGCTAGCTTATGCCCAGAAATAATTACACCTACACTGTATTCTTTTAAACACTGCTTGGCCCATTATATCTAGCTTCTTCTCGGCTAACTCTCGCACCTGGACTAGCCCATTTCTAGTAATCTGTGTAGCCCACGAGGTGGCTTACCAGGGAAGATCTTAACCTACGTCCATCCTGGGTTGGCTTGCTTCATGGTGTGTGTCTGCCCGGGAGAGGGGAGCATGGCTTCTGCTCCAGAGAGCAGAGCTGTCGAGTCTGAGCTCACTTCCTCTTCCTCCCAGCATTCTGTTCTGTTTACTCCTCCCACCTATGTTTTAACCTATCAGGGCCAAGCAGTTTCTTTATTGCTTAACCAATGAAATCAACAGATTGATATATGACTCTCCCACATCACTTCCCCTTTTTGTGTTTAAACAAAATAAAAAGGGGAGGGCTTTAACTTTACATAGCAAAATTACATATAACAAAACAGTTATCAAGTAAAAATTACAATAATCTTTATCATAACTAAGGAAAACTATAACTATAACTAACTATTCTTAACTCCATCACCAGTGTGCATGCACAGGGCTCTAATGCTAGAGACACGCTGTACCGTAGACAGTCAGTCACAGGGGAGGTGTGCAGATCATCCACAGGACTGGATTGTATTAAGTGATGTAAAAGGCCTATCTTGGATATTATTTCCATTTTTTAAAACTAACTTTAGCATACATCCAATTGAAAAATATGTGAGAATATTCTAAGTGAATTACAACATACTAATTTTAATTTTAATTTTTAATAAAGGTTGATGCTATCAATTCTAGAGCTAGGGATAAAATTTTGAGGCTGCATTTGTGTTCCTCTTCTGTTCATTTTAAGTGCTGATCAGATATTAAAAATTAATTACTCTTGACTTCAGCCTTTAAACTGTGAGCTAATTCACGATATTGCCAGTTAATTAAAAATGCAGATTTAGTTATACAGATTTCATTTTCTTTCTTTAGAAAGATGGCACAGAGAATTTAAAATCAAATTATTTAAGTCAGTTTTTAAGTCTTTAGAAAAAAATGTGGATTTGTTTCAAACTATGATGCCAAGCATTTCTTATTCCTTTTTTTTTTCCAGGCAAGAACAGCCTCTCTTTGACAGATGGATAAAGTTTATGAACCTCTCTTTTAATATTGTGTTTAACTTGATGCCTTCTGATTTTAGCCTAAACCCAGTCACCCCTGTGGTATTTGGAACTTCTCCTACCTCACTTGTTCCCTGCACCCTGCTCTCTGTCCTGTTCTGCTCTTTGCCTGGTCCATGCAGTGGTTAGGGAACAGAGGGAAAACACTCCTAAATGCCCCTTGCCCTGTGCTTTCTGTCCTGGTAGCATGCCTGTCTTTGAGGATTCCATATAGATGAACACTTACAAAGATCGCCAGACCACACTTTGGGTAACACTGGTTAATTTTAACATGATAATTTGACACAAAGGTTCCAAAAAATTTCCATGCCAAATTTATACTTTCTACTATTTCCTGTTGTCTTGTTGGTTCTTATGCCGCAAACGAGTGTTCTCACATGTGTTATTTTTAACGCAGCAAAAGAAGAAGAATGATAAGTCCCCAACAAACAGGTTTGTGAGTGTTCCCAATCTAAGTGCTCTGGAATCCAGTGGAGTGGGCAATGGACATCCTACCCGCTTGGAACCCATTCCCAACTCTCCAGTCCATGATGTTGAGTTCAACAGCAACAAGCCACTTCCGCAGCCATTGCCACCCAAAGAGCCCAAGACATTTTTGAGGTGAGCCTGTCTCACCAGTAGTTTTTTTCCCTTGTTTTTCACATTTTTAACTTGAGAAATTTTCATTTTTATCATCTCAGAGAATTCTGTTTTGACACTGTTCAAAGATTTTTTTAATTTGTCATTAGTGAATTTTCTAAATCCTAACAGAGGTGTTCACATAATTCATGTGCTGAGAATTTTAATATTTATAGTTTACGAGGGTTTTAGTAGTGCTAACTTTTATTAAAATTTTCATTTCTTACGGTTTACATATTTATTTCCTTATATCATCCTATTAAGATATATAAGCATATTGCCAAATTAAATAATAAGCTCTGAAAACTTAGCAATATAGTTAAATACAGATAAATTTAGAAACAAATCAGTTTTTAAATTATTCTAGTTTGAAGCTGCCTCAGCTGATTAAATATATTAAGTAAATTTTGAATGAAATGAAATTATTAAGCCATTTAAAGAATTAAAATTTTAAAAATACTATTTTGTGCTCACTTTAATACAGCTTACTTTTCTTGTTGTTGATTCAAGCTGATTTTTTTCTTTTTACTAAGTCCTTATAACTCCACTAGTAAATTTTACGAGTGGAGTAGTATTTCTGCTTCTAAGCTAAGCGATTTCTAACACAGTTAATGACTAATTCTTTTAAAGAGTAAGGAACTCGTAAGAATGAAAACTAGTCGAGTTTGTCTCTGAACGTGTCTCCTGCTAAACACTCTGTGTTGCTTGTCTCCCGTGCGGGCGCTCAGGTATCAGTAGGATGCATGTGCATGTGCTCGAGGGACGTGGCCGCTGGAGCTTCCATTACACATTGTTGCGTGCCTTGTAATTCCCCCAAAGACGGTAGGGATGCTTTCGTTTCTTAAGTAGCCCAAAGAATCTTAGAACTAAGACAGACTACTTGGAGAATAGAAGAAAACCCGGTTTCTAATGCACTCTGTTGAAAATCATCTCCATATGGAATGATGGAAGCTTAGAGTAACCTTGATTTGGTTACGACTTTAGTTCTAGTGGAGGACACAAATGTGAGGATCAATGCTTGTGTCAGATTATGGTAATTCAAAGGGAAAAGTTGCCCAGAGAGGGAACGCTATTTTGTTCTCTCTCTCTCCCCACAAATACTCATTTTTTTTAAAGCTTCCGAGATGATAATATTGTATTTGCCAGTTGTTTAACTTTCGGGCCTTATGGAGTAATAATTGTGATGTGGCTCCTGTCACTGAGATCATCTGAGCTGACACAGTAATTCATGTTCTCAGAGAACCCGCTCTGATGCAAAAGGGTAGTAGCCAGTCCTTGCATACCGTTCTGACAAGGGTGGCCAGTGGTGAAAATCAGTACTTAAAATTTAATTGCTCTCCCGTGTCTCTGCAAACTGTTTAATCCTGGGTTACATGTCTCTCTCTTTATGAATTTAGTCCTCCTCAGAGTGAAGCTTCCCCGGTGGCTTCTCCAGATCCCCAGCGCCAGGAGTGGTTTGCCCGGTACTTCACATTCTGAATGAACTGTGCTGGCTCAGCTCTGGTGGACTGACAAGAGCCTGCCTGCATCCGCATCAGTATGTGCACAGACTACCCTGTGTAAAGCACTGGGAATGAGAAGGTGTTTGTCCAATTTGAAGATGCACTGTATTTCCTGTGAAAGTTACTGGAATCACTCTCTGAGGGTACTATACTCTATTATGTGTGTAATTATAACAATTATTTTTATTTGAGATGGAAGTCTTTAATCTTTGTAATTACTGCATAATAAATTTTGTTAGAACAAATGGTTTTTGTTGTTGTTTTTCTATTAAGTGTGCTTTAAACACTTTTTAATACCAGGTGTAAGACTTGTCAATAAGTATCATTGCATTAATGATAATTAATTGTTATTTCAATAGTCTTCAAATCAATATAGGGAAATATATTCTATTAATAACTTTCAATGTTGTGTATAGTTTTAACTAAATTGTCAACATTTATAAATCTAGAATAAAAGAATTTCTGTAAATTGTGTACTTCCAAGTATATGAATTCTTGCTGGTTTATAGCTTTTTTTCCTTTTTTATTTTGGTAGATGAAATATAAACCTTCAATACAGCTAATATCTATGATTAATATTATTTCTACTCTAATTTGTTTTAAAAGGTAGTTTATGCCAGCTATGCTGGCACATGCCTTCAGTCTCAACACTTTGGAGCTCTGTGTATTAGAGCTCACTCTGCATAGGACCAGCAGGGCTATATAATGAGACCCTGTCTTTTAAAAAAAAAATCCAGATTATCCATTTTCATAGTAGCCTGGTTTCGGTTAACACATCAACACGGATCCAAAGATGTCAGACATGGTTTTTTTCTTTTTTTGTCCATTTTTTATGACTGTATGTGTACATATACTTTTGAATGCATGTGTGTGCACAGAGGTACATTTGGAGGTCCAAAGTTGATGTCAGGAATCATCATGGATCCCCTTTTACAGTTTCGAGGCAGGCCTGTCGTCCAAACCTAGAATTCTCTTAAGTGACTAGCCTTGTTAGATCTCCTGTGTCCACCTTCATGCTTGTCTAGTAAGAATGTGGGGTCCTGGAGGCCCAGATTCCTCCAGTCCTTACATTTGTGCAAGTATCTTAAGCCCTGAGCAATCTCTCTTTCCCCACATTTGACATACACTCGAGTTCATCTTGGCAAAAACATTTTGTGCTGTGACTGTAAAGAATGCAGCTAGAGTAACAAGTACTGGATAGAGGCATTTTCAGGTCCACTCCTTCAGTTCTGCTTTTGAATACCTAGCTAGCTGTGGACTTACAGGGTGCTGTGGTAATTCTGTTTAGAATTATTGGCTGGAATATCTCCAAAATGGATGGAAGCAAAACTCGGGCTTGCCTAAGAATAGCCCGAGTTATGGGCACCTAAAGCATCAGTTAGACTCTCCAGAAGTGAAAAGTTATGTGGCCATTGCTTTTCATACTACAGAAAAGTCACTGATTTTATCTTTAATAACTAAATTGAAAAAGTATTATCTATCAGTTGCTGGCCAGAATATATTTGAAGCTGTTGTCAGATCACTTTTAATAAGTAGTTTCTAAGAACACTGTCAGCAAGTAGGGGGTTGTGGCCTTTCTGATGGCCACTGTAGCTACACATGATCTTCATCCACAAAGATCAGTGTAGCAATCAAAACGGGCTTGTCTCGGGCCTTTCTGGAGAGATATCACTCTCTCTTCACCCTACAAGGGAAGGATTCAATAGACTAAAGATTCCAAGTCTAGCTTTACAGGTAAATGATTTTCTTTGGAGTGGTTCACATGAGATAGTTGATGCAGGGGTAACTTGCACAACTGAACGTCCTACTCAGCGGCCATGGGATGAAGCTCAGTGATAAGAGCCCTTGTTGGACCGGAGTTCAATCCCAGGGCTCTCACAGGTTGTTCTCGAACCTTCCTAACGTTGAGCCCCAGGACCAGCTACAAAAAGTAATTATAAATAGGCTTAATTCTCAATTTTTAAAAAAGTACTACGCAAGTTTTTAACCTCCTACCTACTTTCGCACAGCTGGGCAGGAGGGGGTGGTGATTGGAACGTGCGGGTAAGGTCTGTGGGTCTATAGACCTTCCTCTATCCAAGATGGAATGTTTACAACTCAACTGCCATTACCTTACATCTAGCTGTCAGGGGTATTGTTGGACTGATTTTGTAGTCATCACTATAGGTCATGGTCTTCATCAGGCCAATAGCTCTGCTTCAAGAGGTCACTCTGCGTGTGTGTGTGTGTGTGTGTGTGTGTGTGTGTGTGTGTGTGTGCGTGCGTGCATGTAAAGGTTATACTACAAGGCTTGAGCATGCCCTATAAGCCATTTATGGTCATTAATATTTGAAATCCTAGCACTTGGGAGGCAGGAGGATCACAAATTGGAAGCTAGTGTGAGCTAAATAACAAGGCTGTCTCAAAAAAAAATAAAAAACACTTCTAGTAATTGTAGACTCAAAAACACAACTCTCATCTCAAAGGGGATAACACATAGTTTATTCTGGAGGAAAATGTGTGTGACCATAGCCCAGGGACACAGTTTCATGTTACTCCATGTTACTCCAGTTCTATGGTCCAATGTGCTAACAGTTTCATGAAGTTTTTATAGTAATAGAAGCAAGTCAAGATACCTTTTGAATACGTTAATGGGATCGTGAGTTACTCAGGTGTGTTGGTTAATTTTAACTGTCAACTTGCCTCAACCTGCAATCACCTAAGAAGTGAATATAACTGAGAAACTGCCTATATCAGATCGGTCAATATGCATGTCTGTGAGGGACTCTATCCTTAACTGATGTCAGAGGGCCCAGCCCCCTGTAAGAAGTACCATCCATCCTCAGGCAGGTAGGCCTGAACCGTAAATAAAGCCAGCTGAACACTAGGTGGCTCGTGAGTCACCCAGCAAGCAGCATCCTCTGACTCCTGTCGCACTTCTGTGGCTGTAAAGCTCATTCTTTGTCAGAGTGAATTCTGACAACGCTTGTGTACTGTCAAGTTACTGCCTTAGCTTCCCTCCGTGATGGCCCAGGACCTCGAATTGTAAGTCAGATAACCCCTTCCTGCCTCAGGCTGTTTGTCACAGCAGCAGAACAGCAACTTACAGCAAAGCCTGGAAAAGTCTAGGTGCCACCTGATGACATTTTTAATTATAGAGTTTGGAGAAGCAGGTGGTCTGAGAAGTTAATATAGTCCAAAGGGACTGGCGAGATGGGTTGGCTGTTAAGAGCATGCACTGCTCCTCTGGAAGACACAGGTTTGATTCCCAGAGCCGACAGCTGGGAACTTATAACTGTCTGTTATTCCAGCTCCAGCAATCCAACAGCCTCTTCTCTGGCCCCTGTAGGAACCTGCACTTCTGCGCATACCCACACAGAGAGGCACACAAATATACCTAATTAAAAATAATAAATGTTGAAGCAAATACATTCAAAAAGGCTGCATAAGACTTTAGTCAGACAAAAAGAATGGCAGAAAATATCTTTAGGGAGTTTAAAGACAGCCTAATGCAACCAAGTTTGGACCTGTCACGTTCCAATCCACAATCATAGAGGCTCTAGGTTAACCAAACTTTTAGTAGGTTCACTGTAGGGTGTGGTTTCTTTTCAGGTACTTCTGGTAAGTTGTTATTGTTTTAAGACAGTTTCACTACACCCTAGTTGGGCCTGGAATGAACTCTAGACCAGGGTGGCCCTGAACTCACTACCCGCGCCTGTCTCTGCCTCTCCTAGACTGACTGTCTGCAGTCAGTGACACCAAGCCTGGCGGCAGGTACTTGTGACAGGTGTTCTTGGAGTGCGGTGGAGCCTTTCTTGCTTTTCTTGGCTTCATCTCAGGTTGCTAGGACGTAGGATGAGCTGAGGTCACCTGAGCTATCCCAAGACACTGGCATCTGATTTCATTGTCTCCTGTCCCCCAAAGAAAGGTGAACAAAGAGAAGAATGAATATAGATTATAAACCAAGAGTGAGTAGGTCAGAGAGCATAGGGTAAACGAGAGAGTTTATTACACCTCAAGCTACAAGAGTGCCGGTGGCTACAGGGACCATTATGGAAGCAAACACCCCTGGAACGAGAGTGGACAATGCTCAAACTACTGTGCTGACCTTCGTGCTTAGGCTGGGTAAATGTTACTTCCAGACAGCTTTCCTGAGGGTGTTTTTCTATTCAGGTAACTGACAGACTAATTTGGGATAACTTGTTTTTGAGAATCTATCTCAAGTAGCCCAGACTGAGCCTGAACTGACTATGGAGCTGAGGATAACCTTGAATTAATGGATTTCACGCCACACTTCCCAAGTGCTGGGATTCCAGGCATGGGTCATCAAGTCTGACAATTTGGGTGAACACTTACAGATGGGGACAATGATATGACTCTTATTGTCCAGAAATCCTACGGATGTAATATTTTAATCTCACTGGCATTCAGAATGTCATGTCTATACCCAGGACCAGAGATTCAAGAGTACAACTCAGATTCTTTTCTTTTTAACCATAACTTATTTAACAAAATAGGTAAAAATGATTTTTCGAATAAAAATCTATAAAAACAGCCATGCTGTACTACTGGGAGAAAGTAGCCTTTCTTTAATGGGTCCCAACAAAGCCCTGCCTACATCTTTCTCCCTTTTTCAAGATAAAAATTCCATAAACTGCTAATTAAATTCTTCTTAAATTCTTCTTAAACTCAGAAACTTGGAGAGGCAGACTTGCTGGAGAATTGGATCCAAGATCAAGAGCATCTGTTGCTCTTCGGGAGGACCAGGAAAAGCTCTGAAACAAAAGCTAATACATAATTGTACACCACTTATAAATAGCGAAAAATTCCACCTTTACCAGAATTATATATTCGGGTTATAAGTAGCAAGGAGCGCGCGCGCACGCGCACGCGCACACACACACACACACACACACACACACACACACACACACGCACGCGAGGAGAGAGAGACAGAGCGAGCCCGCGCCTCTTCCCGCCGGTCCTCGCCCCTCCCCGCTCCGCCCTAGCCCCGCCCGAGATTCCCCGTCGCTCCTCCCTAGTTCCCACCAAGGGTTGCCCGTCACCCAGACTGACGTGAAATAACCGCACGCCTTAACTACCCGCTTCGCCCTAACCCCGCCCCCCAACCTCCATGCCCCATCAAAATCCCGCCCCAGTACCTATAGCTCCGCCCCTCGCCGCGTCCCCGCCTCCCGCCTGCTTCCGCACCCGGAAGAGCCGCGGCGGCCGGAAAGTTGAGACGGTGTGCAGCTCGGGGTCGGCGGGAAGCACAGGCTCTGCAGAGGCCGGGCGAAGGCAGCCGGACGAAGCCTGCGCGCCCCCGCGGAAGGCGGCCCCTGGGGCGGCCGCGCGCACGCCCCGCCCCCTCCCACGCCGCGCGGGCCGGAGTGAGCACCCGCGGGAGCTGTGCGT